TTAATTAATTTTACAACATAAATGTTTTAAAGATATTAGTTATTAATTATATTTTCATTATACTCTTAATATAAATTTGCTGATAAAGAATTAATTAAATATTTTTTCTTCATCTATCTATCTATTAATTAATATAATGTATTTAATTTTAGAATCAAAAATGTTAAGTTCATTTAGATACTAATGATTCATTATATTTTCATGATTTTCTTAAGATAAATTTGCTTAAAAATAATTAATTAATTAAATATTTCGTTCATTCATCCATCCATCTGTCTGTATATCTATATATTATATAATACAGTGAATTAATTTTACATTCATAAATATTAAATTTGTTTTAATATTAATTATACATTATATATTCATGATTTTCTTAAGATTTGCTTATAATAGTTAATTAAATACTTCTTCATCTGTCTCTCTGTCTATCTCTTTATTATTTATATGCAATTAATTAATTTTAGAGTCATAAATATTAAATTCGTTTTGATATTAATTATTCATTATATATATATATTCATGATTTTCTTAATATAAGATTTGCTTATAAATAATTAATTAAATATCTTCTCCCTAAAGTACTTTTATTAAGAAATAGCATAATTAGCAAGAAAAATGAATTAGATCTAAAGTATCCAAGATCTTAAACTCAACTAAGAGGAATTCTTCCTCCTATCTAACAAAAACTACAGAAGCTGCCCTAGACATCCTGATAACTGGATTGTTTCGTTAAGCACTAATCCTAATTCTAGCCAATTCATTCAATGCGCTGAGTGTTTTTCTGAGAATCCCAATTAATATTCTTTGAATTTAGTTGGACTTATTAAGGAAAATGAAAAAACTGTTTTTAAGAACTACCCAGTTTATGGAGATAATGAGCTTTACGAGAAACTTAAGCAAATCTTTGAGGCTGATTGCTCTGTTGATGGATTGTTATCTAAAATTTCATCTTTTTTCTTAAACTTAAGAAAATAAATCGACCAAAAAATAATAATTAAAGAAGAACAGATGATGAGCTAAGCAAAGTCATTATGGAGCTTTAATGAACAGGTAATTATTTAATATAATAAATTAGCCGAAAAAGAATAGCTTAAGAATATCATCACCAATTTCAAAGATGACCTTGACAAGTAAAATGAGCTTTTTAAAGAATTATTCACTCGAATTTCTACTAACTAGAAAAAATATTAAGAAGAATTGAATGAAAAGATTGATTTTTTCGAAACTTAAAAGTCA